TAGGAAGGGAATGCTCTTACCCCAAGGAAAAAAAGTAAGATCAAGAAGATAAAAAACAGAAAGAATAGTAAAAGCAAAAACTAAAAAAAATACAGCAATAACAACAACAACAAAAAACTCATATCAAATTAGACCAGTGTTCTTTACTGAGTAGTTCAGTGTGTATGCACAGCAGAAACCTTCAGGGGTGGGTGGGGGTGTTCACTCAAACAGGCACCCCCTCTAGTCACCACTGTGAAGGTGCACAGATAGAGAATGAGAAATGAGTAGAAGAAAATTGTTCAGACTTTTTTCCTCTGATGATTGGTTAGGTTTCTTCATATCCACAGCATCCTTCTCCCTTTACTGTGTTTTTAAAATACAGGTGTTGGGCTTACACACTGATGTTGTATGTAGTAGCTGGTGTTGGCTCTTGACTTTTATGTTGAGGTTTTACAGGGTGCAAATACAGCTTGGCAGTATGGCCAGATAAGGCAGAAATAAAAGTTCCTGCCTGAGTAGGAGAGCCAACTTCTGGGCTAAATCCCATAGTCAGATGTCATAAGAACTCGCTGGAGGATTAGCCTCAGGACTTTCAGCTGAGACTGTCAGCTGCTTTGATCCATGGGAAAATTGTATCCTGTGTGTGCAATGATGTACCCTTTTGAGGGTGTGCTGCAACCTGTGTGAAGACACCTGGGCTGGGCAGAGAGTGTGTGACAGGACAGGGCACAGGAGTTGAAGGAAAAATAGTGAAAAAAGAAAAAAAAATCATACCTCTTTTTTCCATAAGTTGCTGGGTGGTTTTCACTCCTTAGCCATTGGCTGTGACCCCACCCACTGACCTCTGCCAAGACTGTGGGTCAGAGGCAGAGTCCTGATTGATTTAGAAATCTCCGTGTTCCTTCATGCTCTGTTAGGTTTCTCTGCAAGTAGGCCCCCGAAACTATTTCCTCTTACTTTATATTGAATTTAAAGTTCTGGGATTGTACCAGCAAAGCATTTTTTCTGGCTTTTCCTTGCTTCCTCTGAAGAGACTTTCCTGAGTCCGCCCCCAAACCAGAAGTCCCTGTATTCTGTTTTAAAATCAGGAAGTGTAAGTCCTCAGACTTTGTTATAGTTTATCAATATCCATTTGGCTATTTTAGGTTTACTGAAGTTCTGTCTTAATTTTCACATAAGCTTGTCAATTTTTGCAGAGAAGCCAGCTAATATGATGCTCATAAAAAGATGCTCAATTTCCTTAATCATTAGTGAAATGCAAATCAAACCCACAGTGAGATACTAGTTCACACTCATTAGAATTACTATAGTCAAAAGATGTTCTCTGAAATGCTGGCAAAGATTCCAAAAAAAAGTGCTGTGCATATTCTTCCTGCATTGCTGGTGGGAATGCGAAATGGTGCAATACCTTTGGAAAATAGTTTGAGAGCTTTTTTAAAATTGAACATACAATTACCATTTCATCCAGCACTCTCATTCCTAGGTATGGATTCAAGGGAACTGAAGACATATGCTGACATAAATACTAGTTCATAAATATTTGTTGTTGTTAAATGTCATCGAGTTGGTTCTGACCCATAGTGACCCTCTATAGAGTTTCCAAGGTGCAACTGGTAAATTTGAACTGGCAACCTTGCTATTTAAACTGACTTGGCAGTCCAGTGCATTAACCCACAGTGCCACACCAGGACTCCATAATCAAATGTAGCGTATATATAAAATGAAATAACATTACGCCATAAAAAGAATGTTACAGTGTGGACACATCTTAAAAGTATTACGGCAAATGAAAGAGTCAGAATTGATAGTATTATTCCATTTGTATGATATGCTCAGGAAAAGCAAATCCATGAAGTATGAGGGTGAGTAAAACATTATACATCCTTTGGCTATATAATTTATTTTAATCAACTTTTAGAAAAGACAAATACACCATTTTTTGACATAATCTCCTTGTTTTCAATACATTTTGTCCATTTGTCAACAAGTTCTCATATTCCTTACTAAAAAATGTTTTAGACTGAGCTCTGAATTACAAATGCACTGCTGTCTTCACTTCTTCATCAGATGCGAATCTTCTTCCTCCTGGAAGGGCAGCTCTCATAGGAACAAATGAGGGAACTTCTGATAGAGCAAGATTAGTACAATAGGGAGGATGCTTTAACAGATCAAAAAGAAGTTTTTGCAGAGTGTCAACAGTATGGGCAGAGACTTAGGGACCTGCACTGTCCTGCAAGATGACAATGCCCTTGTATAGCAGTCCTGTGCATTTAATCTGAAGTTTAAGCTTCCTTCAGCTTTTCAATGAACATCTCACTGTAGTGAACATTGTTTGTTGGACATTTTTTCCTGATAGTATTTCAATACTGGCCCTTGAGAATCCCAGAAAATTGTAAGCTTCCATTTTCCATCTGATTGTTTACTTTTGAGCTTTTTCTTGGTCAGCGATTGAAGATGCTTCCATTCCACACTCTGCCATTTACTCTCAAGTTTGTAGTGGTAAATCCATGTCTCATCACAAATAATGATGTTTTTCAAAGAAACTTTTATCGTCCTTCAAATTTCAGTCCAAATTTTGTTTGCACATATCCAAACACTTCTATTTATGCTCTTCCATGAGTTGTTTTGGTACCCATCTCACACAAATGTTTAGAAACCCAAGTCTGTCATGGATTATTTCATAGACAGAGTTATGGCTGACATACAAATAATTTGTCCCATAATCTACTGTCACTCATTCATCTATTAGACAAAATCATTTCACACTCACACTCAATTTAATCAGCCATGGATGTAGATGGGAGTTTTAATATAAACTAAGTACAGATAATTTTTGACTCACCCTTGTAGATTTGTGGTTGCTAGGGGTGTGGACAGAGGCAGAAGGGGAGTGATTGCTAATGAGTATGTTTTTTGGGGTGTGGAAAGTATTGACGAAAATGTTCTGAAACTAATTATGGTGAAGGTTTGTGCAACTATTCTGAAAACTATTGAAGTGTATACATTAAACGGGTGAATTTTTGAAATGTGAATTGGTGTAAACAGATAATTGGCATTCTGGTGTGACACTGTGGGATAATGAACTGGATCTCAAGGTCATTTTGAACTGCAGAGTTGGCAGTTCAAATTCACCATCCTTTCCTTGGAAACCCTATACAGGGTTGCTATGAGTTGGAATTGATACAATGGTACTTAACAGTAACAACAGCTACAACAATATAAAGATGGAACCTGGATCCATGAGAAAGGACTTAGCACATTCACCTGTAGAAACACACACATACACACACCTAGTATTTCAGGTTCATGAAGTGCAGCTAGACAAGGGAAATCTGATCGTTTTGTGATGTCTGAAGGTAGGAAATAGTTGTGTTGCATCCCTTCCCATTAGATTTCTTGGTAGTATTCTCCTGGAGGAATGTCCCATAACTATACAGGATAACCACAGAAGAAGAGATATGGTGGCATGTGTGTCTGAACAGAGAAAAGGCCAGAGACAGCAGGCCTGAGTTACTGTATCCTGGCATATGTTGGGAAATTTTAGAAATCCCAACCAACAGAGGGGCAAATAAAAAGAATGAAAAGACTAAGGACACAGACAAGCAGTGCTTTGTTTACATTCAGGTATTTGATACAGATTTCTAGATTACATTCTATGGCAGAGGAAACAGATTTCAGGAACAGATGACATAAATTGACCCAAAGCCAGTAGAAATAGATTTATTGGTTGTTTTAATAGTGCAGAGATCACAGAAGTTGGCATGTGCAATCCAAGGGAATGAGACACCTTAGTAGGGGTCAGTGAATACTTGCATGAAAGAATATTTTGCTACTTCACTACAAGAACAATTATGATGCTAAGCAAGTTTAAATAGCATTTAAATAGCATCCTGGAGAGAAGAACAGGAGAAAAATACTTAAACGATAAGAAAAACTCACATAGAAAATCCAAACCTTGCAGTGACTGAGTTTAAAATTTAAAACACTGAGGATCTACCAAAAAACTCTGAATGTACCTGGAAGAGATTATGTTTAAACCAAAAGGAACCGAATTATCATAAATAGTTGAAATTAGTTTTTATTTTCCTGTTGTTAAATGGAAAGGGTAATTGGTAGACCCTTTTAGAGAAAATAAAGTTAAATTTCCACATCACTGTGTTAGAATGGATAAATTTTAAATTCCTCACAACCCATTTGAAAGCTGGACAATAAATAAAGAAGACTGAATAAGAATTGATACCTTCAAGCTATGATGTTGGACAAGACTATTAAATCACTGACTGTCAGAAGAATGAATAAATATGTTTTAGAACAAGTATGGCCAGTCTGCTCCTTAGTAGCAAGGATGGATGGTGAGACTTTGTCTCACATACTTGGAACGTGTTCTTAGGAGGGACCTGTCACCCACCCGAGTAGGCTACCATTCTTGGTAATGTAGATGGTCAGTGAAAAAGAGGAAGAAAACAAGATGGCTTGACACAGTGACTGCAACAATGGGTTCAAATATAGCAATGATTTTGAGGATGGTGCAGGATCTCACAGTTTTTTGTTCTGTTGTATATAATGTTACCGTAAGTCATAACTGACTCAATGGTACTTAGCAACAACAATCCATTGAAAGTCGTGTTTTCATAATGAAACAAGTCATCAGATAAAGACTCAATTTTTAATCTAAATTTGGGAAAACCAGTTGGATGCAGTAAAAAATAAGAGAAATGTATTGAAAGCCAGGATACCTGGATTGATTATGGCAATGTAACCAATTGGCAATGCAACACTGGGTATTCCTTAATATGTTTTGAAATTCATTGGCCTGGTATGTAAAAGAGTTGAACTAGACAACAACAAAAAAGATTTCTCCCCACTTTAGAAGACTAAGTCTCAGGTTTTGCATGTCCAGTAGAGAAATCGCTGCCTCTTTTTACCAAGTTCAAAGAGGCATTGTATTTTAAGAGATACAGTATTCTTCTCTTTCCTAGAAGCTGGGCTACAGACAGCTAGATATAAAGTACATTTACCTGTGTTGTTATGATGATGGCTCTTGGATTTGCAGCCACATTTTCCAATTATCTCAGGAGTATTCACATCACTGTGACAGGTGGAACAGTAAAATAGGGCTCTGGACAATGAAAGCAAATCAAGAATGACTTATGAGAGGCTTAACACTAGGGAGGCATGGCGCTGACTCAGTCTGCCTGCCATTAAGTTGTATTTGCTTTAGTGCTTTCCCCCCATAAAGTAATAAAAAAAAAATTACCTTTTGACTTCCTTTGCAGATTCAGCAATAAAGAACCCTATTGTATTCGTACACAGCCTAACTTGTTCAGATGGGTTTAGTATCAGACTACTGGAAACAAAAAACAAAAATACAGTAATTTTTTCCTCTGCTTTCTGTTGCAAAATTTGATGTTTCATTTTGTCATTATCAATAGATTCTTTAAATTGCAGAGTGACTAGGAATCAATCTGCTTTTACTACCAAAATACAGTGGAAAGTATGAATTTGACTACATTTAATTTTTTGTTTGATTGACACTAAAATGACTAAATGGAGCCAGATAATCACATGATTGCTGTGTCCATACTTGGTTGAGCTGAGGCTAAGTTTCTCCTTGATTGTGTCATGAATCTGTGATTGTCAAGGTAATACTGATACATGAAGCTTTGCTAGTGTAGCCTATCAAATACCAAACAGGCCAAGGGAAAGAAACCATAGATCTGCTTGTTTTATGCTTTTCCTAGTAGTATTTATCCTTAGGTCATTTACTATTTAAGAGAGTTAAATGTAAAAATTCATTTCAATTGGTAAATTATTATGATTAATAAGTTCCTTTTACTTGTCTATGCAAATTTGGAAGTTGTGCATTTCTTTTCAGTTGAGTTATGGTTTTGGAGGAGACTATTAAAAGTACCACGGATGGCCAAAAGAAAAAACAGATATGTGTTGGGAGAAGTATAGCCAGAATGCTCCTTAGAAGCCAGGATGGCCAGACTTCGTCTCTCATACTTTGGACATATTGTCAGGAGGTACAAATACTTGGAGTAGTATATCATGCTTGGTAAAGTTGAGGTTCAGAGAAAAAGAAGGAAATCCCCAATGAGATGGATTGGCACAGTGGCAGCATCAACAGGCTCCAAGCATATCAACAATTGTGAGGTTGGTGCAGGACTGGGTAGTGTTTCATTCTGTTGTACATAAAGTCGCTATAAGTAAGTACTGACTCGACAGTAAATCACAACAGCAACAACATATTTCTTTTCACTTCATTTTTATCAGTCTTGATCATCCGTTCCTTGAGAGAAGGAACCACGTGCATTTCTCTTGTAATTTGAACATTTTGATTTTCTATTTAAAACTTTTTGTGTGTGTTTGAAAATTTCATCCATGACAATCCTTCATGTAATATTCTACTATGACTTTTTGAGTTCTAGACATTTTTCCTGTATGTGTCAGGGTCTCCTGTCTTTGTTTCCTTGAATTCAGATCTCATCTCCAGTGTTGTTGTTGTTTGTTGTTAAGTTCAGGTGAGTGAGTTCCAACTCACAGCGACCCTGTAGTATTTCTGAGGAGGGACTGGTGAGTTTGAACTGCTGATTTGCGGTTCAACCCAACCTTATGTCCATTGGCTTATCCTATGGCTCCACAGCAGAACTCCGATGTGGTAGGATCTTAAGTCCCATAACTCTCTTCACATCTTTTGTACATGATGAAACCACTCCTTTGTTCCTCTTAAACTTTGAAATTCATTTTGTAAAGTGATTCCATCTTAATTTTGACAAAGCTTATTTTGTTGATTGGGAATAGAACAATTTGCAAATACTGGAGAATCCTTACAAAAATAAAAGGGTTTGGTCAACAAAAGCTCTTCATGAAACTCCAGCCCCCTAGCCTTATGTCAAGAGTAGACTTAAAATGTACAGCTGTGCTCAGTTAGAAGCTCACCTGATTCATTAGATGGCCTTTTCAGAGCACTGACTGAGATCAGTGAGTTACATGATGGCTTTTAACTCTAAAAGATGAAGAACATGGAACTGTGGGTTAATACACTGGGCTGCAAGGTTACTTTCAACTTCAAGGTCAGTGGTTCAAGCTCACCAGCTGCTCCTCAGAATCCCTATACAGGGTCTGTATGAGTCAATACCTACTCGATGGCACTTAATTATCCTTGGTTATCATTCACTATCTAGCAAGCATGTATGCAGTTTGTTGTGGCTTATGTAAGTCCTTTGTGTTTTGTTTTTTAACGGGGGTGGCTCTCTGAGCACATATTATAAAGATATCATCTTGATAATATCTCCTGTTGCATTTAAGATATTAAAGATTTAACTAAACTGGCATTGCTTAATCCCCTTCATGAATCATGATTAATATCTCTAAAAAATAATCTTCACACTGGGACAGACACAAAAAATTACTGGATGAGGGTAAGATTCAAGTTAATTTCTTCTTGTTAAATGTCATCGAATCAGTTCTAACCCACAGAAACCCTGTGTAGGGTTTCCGAGGAGCATATGGTGAGTTTGAACTTCAGGTCTTGTTCAAACTGGTATTGCAGTACAGCACATTAACCCACAGTGCCACATCAGGACTCTAATTAGCTGGTGTCAAATTGTTCCCTAAAACAAATCCTTACAATATTCCAGGTTTTTAATAAGAGTTAAAAGTATATATTCAAGTATATCAATTCAAAGAATTAAAAAACAATATATTCTATTCTATTCTATTCTATTCTATTCTATTCTATTCTGCCTAAGATCTAGCCATTGAGATGTCTTATATTGTATTAGGAGTCCTGGTGTGGCACTGTAGGATAACCACTCGACTGCAATGTTGGTTTGAACCACAAGTTCAGTGGTTCAAATCCACCAGCACTCCTTGGAAACCATATACAGGGTTGCTATGAGTTGGAACCAACTCAATGGCACTTAACAACAACAACAACATATTATATTAGGAAGATCTGCTGCATAAAACCGATTTTAAATGTTCAAAAGCAAAGATATCAGCTTGAGGACTAAAGTGTGCTTGACCCACGCCATGGTATTTTCAGTAGCCTCAGATGCCTGTAAGAGTTGGACTGTGAATAAGTAAGACCATAGAAGAATTGGTGCATATGAGTTATAGTGTTGGTGAAGAATATTAAATGGTGTCACCATGGATTTCCAGAAGAACACACAAATCTGTGTTGGAAGACATACAACTAGAATGTTTCTTCGAAGCCAGGATGACAAGACTTTGTCTCTCATACTTCAGGCATATTGTCAGGAGAAATCAGTCCCTGGAGAAAGGTATTATGCTAGATAAAGTGGAAGGTCAGCATAAAAGAGGAAGTCTCCCAAAGAGATGGATTGGCACAGTGGCAATAGGAAAGGGCTCAAGCTTAACAATGATTGTGAGGATGGTACAAGATCGGGCAGTGTTTTGTTCTGTTGTGTATAAGGTTGCCATGAGTTGGAATCGACTCAACAACATATTTCTTCTACCTATGTTGGTTGTGGTAGTTTTTGTAAAGTGTGGTGATCAGAAAGAGTTAAACTGTCTGAGATTTGATTCTGCCTCTGCCAATCAGAAGTGGTGTAGGCTTTAGTAAATTATTTCACCTTTTTGGGCCTCATCTCCTCCTTTGTAAAATGGTCTAATAATAGTACACATATCATAGCATTGTTGTGAAGACACAAGAGTTATGTGTATGCACCAAGAACCAACTCAATTGTACTTAACAACAACAACAAAATGTATGCAACATCATTTGTTTATGCATTTGTCCATTTTCTACTTTTGGCTATTAAGAATAATGCTGCTAAATATATCCATGTATAATTTTTTTGTGTATATTTATGTATTCGTTTCTTTTGGGTATATATATATATATGTATATATGTATATATATATATATGAGTGGAATTGATGGGTCACATAATAATTCTGTGTCTAACTTTTGAGGAGCTGCCAAAGTGCTTTCCACAGAGGCAGCACCATTTTAAATTCCAGCAGAAACGTATAAGGATTCTTATTTCTCTGAATCCATGTCAATATTTGGTATTTTTCATTTCTTGATTGAAGGCATCCTTGTGGCTATGAAGTAGTATCTCATAATAGAATGTAACTAAATCATAAAATAGAACAAAGTATTCATATATGCTACAACTCGGTGAACATTGAATACACAATGATAAGTGAAAGAAGCCAGACACAAAAGGTCTGCTGTTGAATAATTCCTTTTATATGAAATATAAAGAACAGCAAATCAATAGAGACAAAAAGCAAATGAGAGTTTGCCAGGGTATGGGCCAAGAAAGAAAAGGGGACTAATTAATTGATACAGGGTGTTTTTATAGGGTGATGTAAAGTTCTGACACTGAAGAGTGGTGATTGTTTCATACACTGTGGTAGTTGGTGGTTGGTGGTTATATGCTGTGGAGTTGGTTCTAACTCATAGCGATCCCATATAGAATTTCTGAGGTTGCAAATCTTTATGAGAGCAGAAAACCTCATCTTTTTCCCACATAACCACTGGTAGTTTCAAACTGCTGACCATGAGATTCGTAGCCCGACTTGTAACCATTACACGACCAGTTGTTGTTGTTGTTGTTGTTGTTGTTGTGAAGTGCCATTGAGGCAATTCGGACCCATAGTGACCCTGTATAGGGTTTCCAAGGAGCAGCTGGTAAGCTTGAACTACAGACCTTGCAGTTCAACCAACTTTGCAGTCTGACGCATTAGCCCACACCACCACATCAGCGCTCTTTCTTAATTGTACACTTTAAAATGATTAATTTTATGTTATGTTAATTTCATCTCAATTAAAAATTTAAATGAAATAAAGAACAAAAGGAGTAAAAAAAATGAGTTAATATAGGTAAAGTATGCATAGAAGTGTTGATTATAAAATAACAATTATGCTGTTGTTATTGTTAAGTGCCATCAAGTAGATTCCGACCCATAGCAACCCTGCATAGGGTTTCCAAGGAGCAACTAGTGAACTTGAACCGCTAACCTTGCAGTCCAAATGGCTTTGCAGTCTGGAGCATTAACCCACAGTGCCACACTCAGAGTCAACTCATAGTGACCCTATGAACAATAGAATGAATCACTTCCCTGACCTGAACCATGCTGACAATTGCAGTTATGTTTGAGCCCATTGTTACTGTCACTGTGTTAATCTATCTCATTTAGGGTCTGCCTCTTTTTTTCTGACCCTCCGTTTTTCCAAGAATGATGTCAGGGCTGGTCTCTCCTGACAATATATCCAAAGTACAAGAGAGTGAACAGTGCTCACTTTTAAGCATTCTGGTTATACTTCTTTCAAGACAGACTTTTTAGTTCACCTGGCCTGGCAGTCCATGA